TAGGCTTTGTTGCTTCTCAGCTGGATGGCTGCTTGTTTATCTTCAAGGCTTTAAGACCTCAGAAACGCTATATCTTGTGATAGCTGGGCACCATCAGCTTTCTTCACCACATTTGCTTATGCACCCATTTTGTCTTCAGCAATCTTGTCTTACCCATGGTCATTTTTATGTTGCTGGGCAGGTGTTGACAATGCTGTGTTCATGTCACCACTGCCTTCGGCTACCACCACACTGCACAATTCCCAACACTTCTGTTCTGCCCCAGGGCCTTGATGGGCCTGTCTCTTGGTGGGAAGACTTGGTATAGGAGCTCCTGAGCCTCTGCCACTGGGCTCTTCTGAGCTTCTGCACCTTACTCCCACCATGTTGCCTGGGCCAGCAAGGTTCCCTTGCCGCCATACTACCAGGACCCCTGCTGCACAGTAGGGAGCTGTACTGCTGCTTCATGGAGTATACGCAGACCTCTGCCCAGGACAGGCAAGGTACAGCTCTTTTAGCTCATCAGGCAAGCCTCCTCCCCAATAGCAATGAGCTTTCTAACCATCGGCTGACCTGTGCTGTCTTTCCTATCTTCAATTTTCATTATTTTTTGAGTTTAGAAGATTCTCAATTCAGGGACTAAGAGTCTTGGTTCAGAGAACAGACACTTTTTCTTTTTTTTAAGGGTGAAGTAGTTATTATTTTTCCAGACACTTCTTTTTGATGACAGTCAAAGTCCCTATATCTAGCTGGCATTAGCCCTTTAGTGTTATTTGTATGTTGTTGTTGTTGTTAACAAAACGTTGTAACAAACGTTTTAACAAACGTTGTAACAAAACGTTGGTTCTGGCACATAGCAACTCTGTGCACAACAGAACAAAACTTTGTCTGTCCTGCACCATCCTCACAACTATTCCTACGATTGAACCCATTGTTGCATCCATTGTGTCCATCCATCTCATTGAAGGCCTTCCTTTTTTTCTCTACCCCTCAACGTTAGCAAGCATGATAGCCTTCTCCAGGGACTAGTCTCTCCTGACAACATGTCCAGAGTAAGTGAGATGAAGTCTCTCCATCTTTGCTTCTAAGGAGCACTGTGGCCTTACTTCTTCCAATACAGATCTCCGTGTCCTTTTAGCAGTCCGTAGTACTTTCAATATTATTTTTGAACATCACAATTTCTATGCATCGATTCTTCTATGGTCTTATTCATCATTCAACTTTTACAATCGTATGAGTCAATGGAAAATACCATGCATGGCTTGGGTCAGGCACACCGTAGTCCTAAAAGTAACATCCTTGCTTTAAATACTCTGAAGAGGTTGTGTGCAGCAGATTTACCCAATGCAATGTGTCTTTTGATCTCTTGACTGCTGCTTCCATGGGCATTGATTATGGAACCAAGCAAGACAAAATCTTTGACAACTTCAACCTTTTCTCCACTTATCCTGTGTGAGGAGGATCCAGCCCTCTCATGGATGGAAGCAGGGTAGAGAGGGGTACAGTCACAATTGAGAAAGAGAGATAAAAGAGAGGATAAAGTTGTGGGGTTGGGGCCTCTTGGAGCATAGCAACTCCAAGGCATAGCACTTTACTCAAGGCAGGTTTGTATACAGTTCTTATCACACATCCTGCATTCCATGACAAACACTTACACAGAGGATTTATCAACAATTTCCTTGAAGCCAAACAAAAAAGCAATCATATTCTAGCCAATGTGTCCATAGTCTGGAGGGGAAGATAAAGCCCAAAGTAGGGAGTATAAAGGCACGCCTGCAGAATGGTGGTTGTCAGGGATCAGGATAGAAATGTCTACTTTTTCTGAGTTGAAGGTCAGACCTTCAGTGTCTCCGCTCCCTGGGTTTGAGCTGTCAGCTCCTTCCCACAGGTCTTGCCTAAACCGTGGAATGTGGTGATGGTCTTGTCTTACTTGGGGCAGGAAATGAGGGTCAAACTGTCCCATCACTGCGCTCTTACTCAGAAGCCTAGGACAGCGTGCTGCTCCAAGTTCTCTGCCTTCCGAGAATCTAGGACCAATGTCACTGCATTCAGAGACTTTGACACGAATTCCTTGCTCAGGGTTCATCTTCAGAAGATGTGCTCCCACAATCATGATGTTCCCATGGGTCCCGTTGTGAGGATTTTGATTTTCTTTACTTCTTTGCATAGTCAAAGTCAGTTGTCTAATCTTATAAGGGTTTTACACATCTTATTCCATAGGCCCTGCAAGTTATTTTAGGGAAATTACAAAACCGTGACTAAAAGGCTATAGAATACTTGCATATAGTGGAATCCCTTGTGGATTCTGGTTGCATTGCACAAAGGAGAAATTCTGATTAATAATGATTCTTCATCCCAGAAAGCTGAGGGTTTTTCTGTGGTGGCACATTGGGTCAATCTGCTGTACAAGGCCTCTTGAGAGTGATAAAAAGCAGGATATTGATGCATGTGAAAGATGGACAATTGACTAAAGAAGGCTGAAGAAGAATGGATGTGTTTTAATTGTGCTGGTGAAGAATATTGAAAGTACCATGGACTCCTGTTAAAAGAACAAACTTCATTTCACATACCACGGACGTGTTGTCAGGAGAGACCAGTCCCTGAAGAAGGACATGATGCTTGGTGAAATAGAGGGCCAGGACAAAAGAGAAAGGCCTTGACAAGACTGGCTGACACAGTGGCAGCAACACTAGGCTCAAATATAAGAACAATTATGAGGGTGGCGGGGGACCGGACAGCGTTTGATTCTGTTGTTGTACATGGGGTCGCTAAGAGTTGGCACCAGCCAACGACAACATGACCACTGTGTGTTTTCTGTAAGACACTCGAGAGCAATACACTTCAGATCTATTATTGCACGAAGACCTATGAATACTCCATTCGGAGGCACTTGACCATTGGGTAGAAGAAATAAAATCTTCTTTTACAATGACATTTGTGTTGTAGACAGATCATTAGCTCACATGGTTGAGTGTTGGCAAGGGGTGGTTTAATGCTGAATCTCATTGAATTATGGGTTTAAATCCTGCCTAAGCAAATACTGTGGTATGGTGGGCATCTGGGCCCTCCTCCACTGCCAGGTGCTTACTAGGCACCTTTGGGGACGTTCTTAAAGTTTAGATTGTTGTTTTTGTTAGCTGCCGAATCTTAACAGAGTGAAATGCTGCCCAGCCCTGCACCATCTTCACAATCATTAGTATCCTGGAGACCGTGAGGATGGTTATTGTGTCAACCTGTCCCATAGAGAGTTTCCTCTATTTTTCTCAACCGTCTTCTTTATCAAACGTGATGTCCTCTTCTAGTGACTTATCATTCCTGATGATGTCTGTAAAGTGAGCCAGCCACACTCTCTCTTACAAGGAATATTCTCCTTGTATCTCTTAGTTTAGCTTGCTGTTGTTCGGTGCTATCAAGTGGCTTCCGATTCATAAGGACCCCCCCCCATGTACTAGAGCAGGAAGTTCTGTCTGATCATCGCCATCCTCATAATTGGGATGATTGAACCCACGGCTGCAACCACTGTGTCAACCCATCTCATTGAGGGTCTTCCTCTTTGCTGCTGCCCTTCGACTTGACCAAGCACGATGGCCTTCTCCAGTGACTGGTCTCTCCTGATAACCTGTCCAAGCACGTAAGATGAAGATGGAGACTTGTGTCCTTGGTTCTAAGGAGCTTTCTGGCTGTAGCTTGTCCAAGACAGATTCATTTGTTCTTTAGGCAGTCTATGATACATTCAATATTCTTTATCAGGACTGTAATCCAAGTACTTCTGTTCTTCTTCAGTCTACCTTATTCAGTGTCCAATTTTCACATGCACACGAGACGATGGAAATACCATGGCTTGGATCAGAGGCACCTTAGTTCTCAAAGTAACAAGAGGGGAAGGGGGGCGGTGGGGGAGAAAGGAGGAATCTATCACAATGTGTAACCCAACCCCCCCAGGGGGGCAAACAAGAGAAAAATGGGTGAAAGGAGATAGCAAACAATGTAAGATGAAAATAATAATCATTTATCATTTATCAAGGGTTCATGAGGGGTGAGGGTGGCAGAAGGAGGGGACAATGAGCTGATATAAAGGACTCAAGTAGAAATAAAATGCTTTGAAAATGATGATGGTTGATGCTCACCTTCCCGACACAATAGCTGAAGACAAAGCAAGTACATAAGCGAATGTGGTGAAGAAAGCTGATGGTGCTCAGCTATCAAAAGATATAGCAGCTAGGGTCTTAAAGACTTGCAGGTAAACAAGTGGCCATCAAGCTCAGAAGCAAATAAGCCCACATGGAGGAGGCACACCAGCCTGTGTGATCATGAGGTGCCGAAGGGATCAGTTATCAGGCATCAAAGACCAAAAAATCATTGTGAATGAGGGGGAGTGTGGAGTGGGGACCCAAAGTCCATCTGTAGGCAACTGGACATATTTTTATGGAAGGGTCACAGGGAGGAGATGAGCCAGTCAGGGTACAATATAGCAATGATAAAACATACAAGTTTCCTCTAGTTCCTAAATGCCTC